ACACACACACACACACACACACACACACACACACACACACACACACACGGCTGGTTACCTGGAGGCATATGACCCAGGGCCAGGAGAGCCACAATGAGCAGAAGCAGCTGTGTCATGGCCGCAGGGCTTCTAGGGAGGTCACTGGGGAGAACACCAGAGGAGCCAGGCATACTGAGTTCTGCTGCCTGCAGCCCAGCCTTTTTCAGGCTGCAGATCAAGGCTGGAGTGTGGGCAGCAGGAGACCTGAGTGGGAGGCGGAGGTTCTGTGATCCCAAGGATGTAGCTGGATCTCAGCCAGCTATGTGGGGGACTGCTCAACCATACAGCAATTGAGCTGCAGAGCTGGGACTGGAAGCTAAGTTGCCTCATTCCCAGACAATGTGTGACATGACACCAGTCACAACCCATCTTGTGGGTAGGAAAGGGATGCCAAGAAGGCCAAACCACAGAAGGAGGCCAGGCGTGAGGGGGTCCATTGTCTGCCCCCAGCCCTGCGGAGGCTGAACTAATCTACAGGCTACTGTGGGAGTTGCTCTGAGCTGGACACCTGGACCCCCTCAGCCATGACAATGAACCCCACCCACAGGTACAGCCTGGTCTGCAAGGGCCCACATACAAACCCGCCCCGGTCCCTCAAGACCTCAAAGGAAGCATCCTGCCCAAAGAGCCTGGATCCTGGCTCCTTGGATGGCCAAAATCACCAGTTCCCAACTGCCTTACTCTACCAGGATCACAGTGTGTCTCTCCTCCTCCAAGTGCCTAGGAAGGCTTTTTTTTTTAAAGCCATGGGCGGTGATGGAAAGGGACAGTTGGCTAAGAGGCAGAATCCTGAGTCCCAGACCCAGGTAAGCCTCAGTGTAATCAGCCTTTTAGTGTTGTGCCGGGATTAAATGAGCTAATACTCCAGGCAATGTGCTCAAAACATACCAGCCACAGCCCAAATACCCAGTAAATATTTATCAGAGTGGGGACAGCCACTCTCCAGGCACAGGGCCGCCCCCTGCATAAAGAGTGCTTAACCTAGAATTTGGTAAATGAATGAATGGGATGCCAAAATCAGATATTCAGAAGTCTTCAGTGCAGACTTCCTAGGCTCCCTCCTCCCCTGGAGCCACCTCCCAAAATTAATTCTCCATCCAGAGCTGAGTTTCTCAAAGTGGGGTCCATGAACTCTGCAAGATCATTGGGCACTTGTTTAAAAGGCAGATTCCGGAAGCCCTCCCCCAGAACGGCTGAATCCTCCGTTCTTGAAGGGTGAGACCTGGAAATCAGCAGTCCACCAGCTCCCCAGGTGGATTCTGCGAGGGCTAAAGTTGGTGCGCCCCGTTGCTGGCGTGGATGCAGAGGGGATGCAGACCCAGGAATTCAGAAATCCCTTCTTTCCTCTCTCTCGCTCCCCACCCCGACACTGCCACCACCACCCCAGGCGAAGACCTTGCGGCAGTGGGTCAACTGAGCTCTGCGAAAAGTCTTAAAATCATTGGGCGGCCGCGGCCTCGGGGCGGGTACCCCGGGGCTGCCCTGACGGGGCGGGGCTGGACGGGGCGGGGTCGCGGCTCCTCCCCCGGCCCGGGCGGCGGGGCGGGACTGGCCGGAGGGGCTGCGCGCCGAGGCGGTGGTGCAGCCTGGAGCAACCGGCAGCTACGGCGGCCGGGGACCCTGGACCCCTCCCCACGCGAGGTAAAGGCCCGCGCAGCCCGCCGCCAACTTAGTCAAGTTGGAGCGGAGTTCGCCAGGCGCCTGCATGGGGGGCTCTGCGGCGCAGGCAGGGACGAGGGAGGCCTCGAACCCGCGTCCCGGGGGGAGGGTCCTCAGGCCTGGGGCCTGGTGGGTTGCATAGCCTCGGGCAAGAAGCCCTCCCGGGATCGGGGGACTCACACCCAGCACCCGGGGCGGGGGAAGCTTGGATTCAGACTCCGGGAATGGCACATGCGCCCCCGGGCCCTGTAGGTCCCTTCCCCACCCCCCGCCAGGACCCTGTCCTGTCACCAAAACCGGGGCCCCGCTGCCTCGACACCCCCCCCAATAGCCGCTGGAGGCCGTCGCCCGGCCTCTCCTGAATTTTTCACGTAGGGGGCGGGCCGGACACGCCGTTCCCATGGCACCAGGGCGCTCGGGTTACAGCCGAGGGAACCCCCAGACTCCCCTCGCCCTTCGGAATACCAACCCACTCCGTCCTGCCTCTTCCTCCGCCCTCAGGAGATGGGGCAGCGGAAGTGAACCCCCCAGGAGCCCTCCACCCTCCAACCCCGATCTGAACCTTGGGGAAGAGAGCTGTGGGGAAGAGGAGGACTGGGGCAATTCAGGAGCCTTTCAGAACGTGGGTCCCATATTCCAAAGGGGGGGGGCACGTCTGTGTACACGGGTGTGTGCATGCTTGTATGGACATCCCACCTCGCTGCTGCCCCTCTGTCTGTCTCTGTCCGTGTGTGCTGGGGTATTGGGTCATCCTCAAGGCAGAGGAAGTCACCTGAGGGTGTGCATATGCGTGTGCTCGCTGCTTGCATAGTCACCCCACCCAGCCTGACCCAGGTTTACTCCGTCCCGAAGCCAGGAAGCCCCCACCCCAAGGAACTGAGGTGCCTCCTCCTGTCATTTGAACAAGAGAAGGTTTTGGAGGAAGTCCTCTCAGAAGCTCATCTGGACCCTGCAGAAGGGGCTCACAGGTGCCTGGCTCACTGCCCATTCTTGCTTCTTGCTTACAGAAGGAAGGAAGGATCAAAGCCCCTCCCCGCCAAGGATGACACTAAACACCCAGCAAGAAGCAAAGACCCCCCTGCGTCGGCGAGCCAGCACTCCACTGCCCCTGTCCCCCCGGGGCCACCAGCCTGGCCTCCTGTGTACAGCACCTTCCACAAAATTCCAGCATCCCCGGCTGAGCCAGTCAGCCTCCCTCAATCCTCCCACCCGGCAACCTTCGCCTGCCCCCAATGGTTGGTCCTCTGAATCCAGTGACTCTGAAGGCTCCTGGGAGGCCCTCTACCGCGTGGTACTGCTTGGAGACCCGGGCGTAGGGAAGACCAGCCTGGCCAGCCTCTTTGCAGGGAAGCAAGAGCGGGACCTCCATGAACAGCTGGGAGGTAGGGACCCTGTGGGCTGGGCTGGGATGTGGCCAAAGGAGTGAAAGCCCTGTTGTCAGGGGCACAAGGCTGCCAAGAAGAGTTGTGCAACTCACACACTGCTCAACTCTAAAGGGCATCATTCACATAGACTATGAAGTGAATGATGCCCCCCCACCCAGAGTGGTGCAGGGCACAGCCAGCACAACAGTCTACAGGAGGGAAATGCCTTGAATAGTGAGAAAGTTGCCAAGTTCTCATGGATGAGGTATATGATTAATTTCCATGTCATAGGGAAGCAATTCTGCGTTCCATGAGTCTCAAGTGGAAAGAAATCGTAGGCTTCCACCCCACTCAGAAACTCCCAGCTCCAACTTCCCCTGACTCTCAGATCCTCCCAGCTCCAGACAACCATCTAAGGCCACCAACAACCTGCAGCGAAACTAAGATCCTGCCCCAAAAGGAGACTCCCCAGTTCCCTTTTCTCCTGAGAGATGCAGTGAGCCAAGAGGGCCAGGGGCCCCAGGATGCAGGGAGGAGACAAGGGCAGGACAGAGGAAATGAAGATGGGTTCCTATAGAACCAGCCGGGAGGACACAGGCTGAGTGCAGTGGGAGGGCGGTTAAGAGCAAAGAGAAAGTGGGGACACTCTGGCCAGGCCCCTTCTCGAGCCTTGACCCCTCTGAGTGTGAGAAGCCTAGATGAAAGGTGTAGATACGTGCACCTGTAGGTGTGACAAGCAGGGAGCCTGAGACCCAAAGAGGATACTGTGACCTGCCCGAAGCATACACTAAGTCAGGGACAGAGAAGGACTGGGAGAGTCCCCAGCCCAGCTTTAACCCCACCATCCCGCACTCATCAATAAACCAAACTAGCAAAAGCTTTCTCAGCACCTACTATTTGATTCTGGCAGCGGGGGAAACATGGGCTCCTCATGGAGCTTCTTGAGCTGTCAGGAGAGACAGACATCAAACAAGGGGGTGCGCACTTCCAGCACAAGTGGAGGGGGCACTGTGACCAGAAAGGGGACTAGGGGGGCCACGTCCTCCTCACGCCTGCCCCTCCTCCCTGAGATCTGGCTCTTTCCTCGGTTGCAGAAGATGTGTACGAGAGGACCCTCACAGTAGATGGAGAGGACACAACGCTCGTGGTCATGGACACCTGGGAGGCTGAGAAACGGGTATGGCACCACAAGCAGGACTTGGGGGGAGGGGTGCTGAGCCTGGTACCAGACCTCTGTCTGTCCCCTCCTTGGACACGACACAGCAGGGACATGGCAGAGGTCATCCTCAGCAGCCCTGGAAACCCACAGCTCCCAAGCAGCCTTTGCAACCAAAGGCAGAAGAACCTCATAACCCCGAGTCCTTTTCTCACTCCACTGATTCCCTCTGTAGCCATCCAGGATGTGCTTCTCCCCCTGCAAACCTCCACCTCATCCTCAGCACCCTCAGCCCACTGCCCCCCCCCCGCCGCCCACACACTGTGCAGAGGAAGGAACGCTGCATTTAACACCAAAATGCCTGAGGGTAAACCCGCCACCCCTTTCTTTCCTTACCAGTTGCGTGGCTTTGTGCAACTTGCGTGGCTTTGTGCAACTGACTCACCACCCACCCTGAGATGACTTCAGTTTTCTCACCTGATAGATGGGTTAATCATTACCGCCTTCCTTACCAGCTAGTTTTTAAAAGTTCTTATGCAATTTCCCAGCAGTGAGCACAGTGTGGAGCATGAAATAATGCTGAACATAGGTGAAGAAATGTAAATAATGATCATTCTTATTCCTCATAACTTGGTAGCTAGTAAAGAAGGAAAGCAAAGGATGTCCTTCCCCTACCCCGTTCCAGAATAGGAAGAAAGCAGCAGGCAGGGATATGCCCCTGTTATGCTTTTCTTACCTTGAGTTTTCTTTTTTCTTGCTATACAGATAATACATGTTTATTGTAGAACTTTAAAGAAATACAACCAAGCAGAGAGAAGGACGTAAAAATCACCTGGGAACCTAGCTCAGTAAGGGGGAGGCCCCGCCCACAGGGTGGAGCTTAGGAGGGCACTGTCGGGTGATTGGTAAGAATGACTGACAGCCCCAGTGATAGGCGGGAGGATAGGGATGAAGGAGCTAAGTGGCCAATTCCTTTCCACGAGGATTAAAAGGACACCCAGCTCCAAATGAGCATGATGATGATGATCATGGTCCTCCTAGCAGCAGGGATTTATGGAGTACCCTCTTCCCAAGTGTCAGCCCCTGTGCTAAGCGCTGGATATATATTATGGCGTTCAGTCAAAACAAATACTATAGGTGAGTATTCTGATTCCCATCCTAGTGACGAGGAAAGCAAAGCTCAGAGAGGTTCAGTAATGCGTCCAAAGTTCTCAGAGATCAAGGGGGATTCAAACCCAGATCTATAAGCCCCTGAGCCTGTAATCTTATGCACTAGGACTGTCGCTCCCATTCCCACTGGGAACATCACCTTCTGAGCCTTCAGCTGGGGTTTCACTCCTTCACTCATTCATTCACTAAGAAACCCTGGCTGGGTATGAATCATGGGCCAGGACACTGAAGACCCAGCAGTGAGTAAGACAGACATGTCCCTTGGCCTCATGGAGCTCACAGGCTGGGGGGGGGGGGGCACTTTTTGAATACAGTCGAAAATCCAGTGGGGCAGAGTCCAGTAAATTATGAAAAGTGATCAGCCTGGGAGTCCCATTTAGGAGACCGGGGAAGAAGAGTACTGGAACTGGAATTCTGTGCCCACCTGACTGTATGGCCTTGAGAATGTTTTCTCTTCTCTGGCCCTTGGATTTCCTACAAATAAAATGGGAAAACAGAACCAGTTTCCCTGGCTGGTCACGGTGGAGGCAATTTCCACAGAGGGTCCACCCAGTAGCAACGTCACTGGAATAAGCATCCATCCTTTCGGTAGATGGTACCCTTTGATGTCAGAGAGGCAGGATCTCCCAGAATTGGGTGGACCTTTGGCTCATGCAGTAGTGCCCTAGCTGGCCTGACCATCAGGGTCACCTAGAGAGTATAAAAAAATCAAATATCTGGGGCACCTGGGTGGCTCAGTTGGTTAAGCGCCAGACTCTTGATTTCGGCTCAGGTCATGATCTTATGGGTCGTGATATGGAGCCCTGCATAGGGCTCCGTGCTCAGCGGGGAGTCTGCTAGAGATTCTTTCTTTCCCTCTCCCTCTGCCCCCCCCCCCTCGCAAGCTCACTCTTTCTCTCTCTCAAATAAATAATCTTTAAAAAATAAAATAAAATTCTCAGGTCTCACCCCAAACCTGATGAATAAGAACCTACAAAAATGGGGTCCTGTAACCTATATTTCTAATCACACCCCCAAGGGGTCCTACCCGCCAATCCATGTTCCAACCGGCTTCTGTGATCCTAACACATATCAAATCCTTCATAAACATTTGTGCAATGAATGAATGAATGCTCAAGCCCCACACTTTCATTCTACAGATGGGGAAACTGAGCCCCAGAGGGAAGAAGGAACCTGTCCATAGTAAGGTGAAGAACTCACATGCATCTGACTCAGCCCATGGTTATTTGGCCTGGGGAAGGATCAGAAAAGCTGTTGGGAACTTAATCCCTCTGACAGTGTGTTGACCATCGATCTGATGCTTTCATAGTCATCTATCTTATCGGGTTATCAGAAAATTCTTCTGGGGCGCCTGGGTGGCTCAGTTGGTTAAGCGACTGCCTTAGGCTCAGGTCATGATCCCGGAGTCCTGGGATCGAGTCCCACATCGGGCTCCCGGCTCAGTGGGGAGCCTGCTTCTCCCTCTGACCCTCTCCCCTCTCATGCTGTTTCTCTCTCTCTCCCTCTCTCAAATAAATAAATAAAATCTTAAAAAAAAAAAAAAACAGGAAATTCTTCTGGCTTCTTCCCCTCTCAAAAACAGTGCCTCCACCACACTGGGTATTTCCTCCCCCTGGCCTACTCTCCGCTCCTGTTCATCCTCTCAAACCCCACTCGCCAGTCCGCTCTTAAGCCCTCCCCGCACTCTGCCTGGCTGAGTTCTTCTGACCTCCTCCCCTCACCCCCCATGGCTCCTCCAGCCACATGCTCCTGCCTCTTAATGGTACTTATGACAGGGCATCAGAACTCTCGACTTCCATAGCATCCCTTCCAGACCATGAGCTTTTGGAAGATAGGAATGGTGTCTTACTAAACACTTGTGAAGTTGTTACCCAGATGGTCCAGTCTCAGCGTGCTGTCCCTGACAAAAGATTGCCACCCAAATGGCCTATCAAAATTGCTCCAGTTCTTCCCTTCCTTGTCAAACAACTTGCAAAGACTCTGCTTCTTAAAGTGCCCCACCTCTCCACCGCTTCCCTTATACCTCCTACACTCCACAGTTGCTCCTTCACTTCTCTCTTCAACGCTGGCCTGGAAAATGCCTCCCCTTGAAGTCAGCTCCCTTCTCTCTTCTCTCCCTTCTTTTTGCCTCTCTTTTTAAAAGATTTTGTTTATTTATTTCTTTAGAGAGAGAGAGACATAGTGAGTGCGGGAGGGGCAGAGGGAAAGGGAGAGAGAGAATCTCAAGCAGAGTCCACACTGAGCATGGAGCCCGATGCAGGGCTTGATCCCATAATGCTGAGACCATGACTTGAGCCGAAATCAAGAGTCAGATGCTTACCCCACCGAACCACACAGGCGCCCCGCCCCCATTTTTGTCTCTTAATTGGACTGCAGAAGGCCACAAGAACTGTCTGGCAAGACTGAGCCCTCCTCAGAAACCAGACAAAAGAGCTGAACCCTCCTTAGCAGGAGGGGGAACCAAAGAAATCTTTCATCTCCAGTGCCTGGCCTATAGAAGCAATCAACGGATGAGAAAATGTAGTGAGGTGTTATTAGCCCAGTTTTTCACATAGAGAAACTAAGGCTCGGGGAGGACTGGTGGCTTACCCAAGGTGACACAGAATAATGGCAGAATTGGTCCCCCAAACCTGTCCAAAGTATAAGCCTCAGCTCCAGCCCACCCTTCAGACCATCCCAGCCCTACCTTTCTCAGCCAGGGCCCTCTGGCTGAGAGGTAGGTACCCTTGGGGAACGGGCCTGGGGTCGCTCTGTTGCAGGATGAAAGCTGGAGCCAAGAGTCGTGCCTGCAGGTGGGCAGCGCCTATGTCATTGTGTACTCCATCGCGGACAGAGGCAGCTTCGAGAGTGCCTCTGAGCTCCGCATTCAGCTGCGGCGCACGCATCAGGCGGACCACGTGCCCATCATCCTGGTGGGCAACAAGGCCGACCTGGCACGCTGCCGGGAAGTCTCCGTGGAAGGTGAGCGCTCTCTACTCCCCCCTCCTCCTCCAGCTTCCTCTCAACCTGCTGTCACTGCTCCTCCTCCAGTGCTCTCCATCTCAGGGACTGTCACCCCACCCCGCCCTCATCGCGCACCTACATGCCTAAGCCTGAAAGCTAGGAACTATTCTCGTTTCCTCTCCCACTCCCCCAAACCAGCCCCCAAATCCTGTCAGGTCCACCTCCCTTAACCCCACCTGCCCTTCCCCCTATGCCCACAACCTCTGCCCCATCCTGGCATCTCTACCTTAGCCTGGGCCAGCCCCTGTACTTCTCCCTATTCAATCAGTTCTCCTCACCAGCTGGCAGAGTTTTCCAAAACCAGATCTGACCTTGTCACTCCTTTGCTTAAAAATTCCACTATGGCTCTCCCATGCCCTCAGTCAGAGACACTTTATCCACTGGGCATCACAGGCCCAGTGCGTACAAGCTTTCCAAGGGCTTACATCTGGGATCTGAAACTATTAGCTCCGAAACACAGTGAGAAAATTGCAAATTAAAATTTCACAAAGTTTGAATCATCCACAAAACACGATATTGTGGCAGCTGACAACTACAAACCAAAACGTTTAGTTATATATAATTTGTATTCAAAGTGGGATAAGGAATATTTCAATACATTTGATAATATCATGTGGGACCCACAAAGATCTCAAAATGGCCCGTCTCACGGGCAAAATATAAAAATTATGGAAACTGAGAGCCGGAGAGGGTAAGCCAGTTCCACGGGGTCACCAGCCTCTAAGGGCTAGAACCCAGGCCCCTGTCTCCCAGCCCAGTGGCTTCCTGAAGTTGGAAGACCATATGCTTTGTGAGCAGACAGCCCCACACTCCCCAACATAATCCCGAGGAGATTTTGTTAAAACACTGGTTCACAGACCTCATCCCAAACCTACCGAATCAGATTTTTTGCTGGTGGGCTCAGGAATTTGCATTTTAACAAGCTCCCCCAGATAATCCTGATGCACAGCTCAGACCCCTTACCTGGCATTCAAGCCCCTTCCCAGCCTCTCTGTCTTCCCAGCCTCGTTCTGCTACCAGTATCAGTCACTAGCCTGTGAACTAACTCCGCAGAGCCAGGTCTCATTTACCTAAGAGTCCCCTGGCACTCAGCACAAGATAGGACCAAAAGAAAAAGCGCTTGGCTTGAGACTCAACACACCTCTTCCCACCTTTATGTCCCCCTCTACCGGGCCTGCCTGACCCCGCCCCTCAGAGGGCCGCGCCTGCGCGGTGGTGTTTGACTGCAAGTTCATCGAGACGTCGGCCACGCTGCAGCACAACGTGGCCGAGCTCTTCGAGGGCGTGGTGCGCCAACTGCGCTTGCGCCGCCGAGACAGCGCGGCCCCGGAGCTGGCCGCGCCACGAAGGCGGGCAAGCCTCGGCCAGCGGGCCCGTCACTTCCTGGCCCGCCTGACGGCCCGCAGCGCCCGCCGTCGGGCACTCAAGGCCCGCTCCAAGTCCTGCCACAACCTGGCCGTGCTCTGAAGCCGCCCGCCCCCCTAGGGCTGGCGGAACACTGGGCTGCATTCTGAGCTCCACCGATGCCATCGAGGGGCCACGACGTAGTTGCCCAGTCTGCACGGTGGGCCGTGCCTGCCCGCTGTCCCGAGGGCCAGAGCATCTCCCGGAGCCGCAGCTTCAGGGACCCCTCCAACCTGGGGAAGCAGTGGACAGACTATGGGGCCGAAGCCTCAAGCTGCACACAGAGTAGGGTTTTTTGTTTTGTTTTGTTTTGTTTTTTACGCGGTACGAGCCTTTTTGTAAAAATCTTCCTGGTCCTTGGGCTCTGGCAACTCCCCACAATAAACCAGACCAGAAGGGTGTCCAGTCTGAATGCCCAGACCTCTTCTTTTGGGCTCTGCCAGGTGTCTCCACCTCCCACCGTCCCATCTACACTGGCTGCAGACCGGGTTAACCTGCTGACCTGGGCGAAGGTCACTCAATAAAATCGCTGGACCAGTTGTGTGTTCAGGCCTTCTCCCAACCACTGGGCATGGCCCCTGGCGCCGGTCTTTGGGGAAGACCCAGTGGTGCACAGACAACCACAATTCAATGTGATTGATGACCTATTTTCTCATAAGCCCATTTTTCAGATTATAGATTCATAAAGTCTTATCTGGAAGGAATCTCAGCATTCATCCTCACAATATAGTAGCTTTTGTTTGTTAAGAGCTATGGTTTAAGCTGTCACAACTAGTGATTAATCTTCACAAACCCTGTATACCTCTATTAGAAAAATAGAGGCACAGGATGGTGATGGTTCATACTCCAGATCATATAGCTACCGGGCGCCTGGGTGGCTCAGTCGTTAAGCGTCTGCCTTCAGCTCAGGTCATGATCCCGGGATCCTGGGATCGAGTCCCGCATCGGGCTCCCTGCTCTGCGGGAAGCCTGCTTCTCCCTCTCCCACTCCCCCTGCTTGTGTTCCTGCTCTCGCTATGTCTCTCTCTCTGTCAAATAAATAAATAAACTCTTTAAAAAAAAATCATACAGCTACTATAAGTGAAGTAGTCAGGATTCCAACCCCGGCTTGTCAGGCTAGAGTCTGTGCCCTGTCCACAATCCTCTTGGAGAATGTGACAAAAAGCTATAGAGTCCCAGGGAAATGGACTTTCAAACACAAGTTTACTTACAATTTAAAGTGGAGGGGGATGCTTGCCTCCATGAAACTCCATCCACTAATCCCTAAGACAGATACCCGATTTAATCCATCTCATTCATTTTCCTGAATATGGAAACTGAAGCCCATAGAGGGCAAGTGAGCATCCCAGGGTCACCCAGCCAGTGAGGGTGAGGACTAGACCCCAGGGCCCAGCCTCCTCCTCTGTCTGTGCGGGAAGGAGGAGGTAGTGGGGCATCCAGCTGTGGGGCTCGGGCCGGGCCTTAGGGATCAGGTCAGGAGTTTCCAGCTGAAGGGGAAAGGGGTGTCGCGACTTTGAGAGGAGAATAAGATGCAAATGGTTTGGACCATCATGTCCCTGAGGCCTGACACCCCTTCCCCCAACCAGCTGCCTGCCCACATGCTTCAGCCACCAAGAACACAGTGCCAAAGAAGACCGGAGCTTGGGCAGATGAGCCATATCCTCCTTCTTCAAGCCCCCAATCTTGCCAGCAGGGCACTGATAGCACTTATTTCCCCATCCTAACTCCAGCTTGGGGAAGGGAGGAGGAGGAGGGTCTTCCCCCACCCCAAGCTGGCTCTGGCCTGCGGTCGTGGGGGAGGGGCTATAGTTGTGGAAAGTTGGCAGAGGCAGCCGGCAGCGGCCGGAGAGTGGAAAAAATGATATCAAACCCGGAAAAATGCAGGCCGGATGGAGGGCCTGAGTTGGCCCTGGGAGGTGAGAGGGGAGGGAAGGAAGGAGGGGGGCCCACAGGCTGAGAAAGGAAGAGGGGCCAGGGAAAGAGCACAGGAGCTGGCTTTGAGAAAACTGTAGGTAATCGCTGTCATTCCTTTCTTCACCCACAAGTATTTACTGAGGGCCTACTAAGTGCGGGGCACAGTGCCAGGCTCTAGGGAGATAGAAGTGAACAGAAGCAGTAGGATGCTGCTCCCTGGAGCCCCCCCATCTGGTGGGGAAAGCAGACTAGAAAACAAGTGAATAAAATGATTACAAACTGATAAGGGGCTGAAAATCAGGGTGGTCATGGAAGGCCCTGAGGATAATCCAGTGCAATCCTCAAAGTCCACAAATGGGGAAACTGAGAACTGCGGGGGGGGGCTTACCCCAGGCTACTCAGAGTGTGGAAGAAGTCCTTGAGACCAGGACTGGGAATGGAAGGGGAGGAAAGAAAGAAGGAAAGAGCACAGACCCGGGTCAGGGGGAAGGAAGAGCATGCAGCCAGGATGGCAGGACAACGCAGTGGTTGAGGTAGGTCATGGGTCCTGAACCAGAGGGTCTGTGTTCAATGCTCCCTCTCTCTGTTTCTTAGCTCCCTCATCTGTAAGATAGGATTCATGGCAATTCCCTCCCTCAGGGTTGATGTGAGGATTAAATGACTTAGGATGTTGGGCACCTGGGTGGCTCAGTCTGTTAGGCGTCTGCCTTCGGCTCAGGTCATAATTTCAGGGACCTGTGATCTAGCCCCGAGTTGGGCTCCCTGCTCAGTGGGGAGTCTGCTTCTCCCTCTCCCTCTCACCATCCCCATGCGCTTTCTCTCTAATAAATAAAATCTATTTTTAAAAATGACTTAAGATGTGTAAAATACTTAAAACAGTTCCTGTGTCTAGAAAGATTCAGTAAATGTTGGTTCCTACTAGCATATCTTAAGACCTTGAGGAAACCAGGCCTTGTTAAGGGTAGGATATTCTGGGACTGTGAAGACTTGCTTGCAAGTCTTTGCCCTGCTATGACACTGGAGGACTTTAGGAAAATCTCTTCCCCTCTTAGGCCTCAGTTTTCCCATCTGTAAAATAAAGGGATTGAATGGGAACTTGTATCATCTATTCATGGACTCACCCATTTACTGTCTATCTCCCGCAGAGGAATAAAAGTCCCATGAAGGTAGGGCCCTCGATGCTGCTCTCTCCCCAGCACCTACAACAGTGCCTGGCTCACAGTAGGTGATCAGTAAATATCTGTTGAATGGATTGATTAACGGACCTGTAAAATGGCCCCTCCAATCCTGACCTCTCTGATTCTAGCAGTCTGTGGATAAGGCATAGCTGGGAAATCATGTGACAAAACCACAATACTCCTCCCAGGGACATGGCCCATTATAGTTAAGAAAGTTCTTTCTCATCCATTAAAACAAAACAAAATAAAACAAAACTGCTGTTCTAGCTCTTTCTATGTGCCAGGTCCCAGGCTACATGCTTGGTACACATTTTCTCATCTAATTATCACCACACCCATCTACTTAATAAGTACCATTTAGCAGATGAGCAGATTAACAGATTGAGGCTAAGAAAACCTGAGAAATCTGTCCTAGAAAGGGTTGTCAGGATTTGCACTCAGGTCAGGTTGTAACTGCTTTCTTCATTGTACAGTTGGGGAAACTGAGGCCCAGAGAAAGGAGAGGAATTGTCCAAAGGCATGTAATAACAGCAAGCAATTACATCACTTTTACTATGTATTGGATGCTGTTCTAAGTGCTCTTTGTATATTAAATCCTCAAGACTGGTCATATTATCACCATGCCAGTTTTCAGATGGAGAACCGTAACTCATAAAGGTCCAGAACCCCTGCCGAGGTTGCACAATTAGCAAATAGCAGAGCCAGGATTCAAACCAGGGATGTCTAGTCCTGTGGCTTGTTAAGGGCTACATTACACCCCCTGTCAGTACAGCAAGTCCGGAGCAGGCTGGTATAAAAGAGAAGGGGACTTCACCCAGCACCCCGCTGCCTGCACTGGGGGCAGGGTGGAAAACAAAAACACATTGAGAGGATCCTCAGCCGCCAGCTGGGACTTTCCACCTTGAAGGGAGAGTACTGTTATGGAAAAAATGATAAAGCTCTGGAAAGATGAATGTCTCCCAAGGGGCCCCCAGTCTCTTCAGAGTCCCTCCTGTGTTGGCCTGATCCAGATGAGATGAAGGCCACCTGGAACCCAGCACACCCCAGCCAGGCTGCTTGATTACTGAGGATCACTGGCCTCGATGGAAAGTTCCAGTTTCTCAGCCAAAGGGCACGAAGCTTCCACTCAGGGACCCCCCCACCCCCTGCCACGTAATCAGTTTCAGGCTGACACTGCTTGTCCTTGGATGGTGGGAAATTCCCATCTCCTAGGGGCAGCTCAAGCCTCCCTTTATTCAGCAAACTTTGACAAGGATGTGTACTCTGAAGGAGGGTAAAGAGCATCACAGCTGGCTGCTTTATAAAGACTAAGAATCTCTCAGTTCTGCCACGACCATGTGGCTTTAGGCAAATCAAAATATACAGAGTGAAGGGGTTAGGGTAGAATTCTCCACGTGACTGTCTCTGTCTCAAGAATATTTGAATATTCTAGTTCAACAGCTTGAAAAAATATACAGGTTCAGTTTCAATTTCAGTAGTGTTCCCTTCTGTTCGGATCAGGGTTCAGTTAAAAATAATACTAATAAGGGGCGCCTGGGTGGCTCAGTCATTAAGCGTCAGCCTTCAGCTCAGGTCATGATCCCAGAGTCCGGGGATCAAGCCCCGCATCGGGCTCCCCGCTCAGCGGGAAGCCTGCTTCTCCCTCCCCCACTCTCCCTGCTTGTGTTCCCTCTCTCGCTGTGTCTCTCTCTGTCAAATAAATAAATAAAATCTTTTTAAAAAATAATAATACTAATGATGGGATGGGAGCTCTGGGTTCAGCAATGCATGCAATTTTCCCCAGTTCCATCTGGTTCAAGTTCAAGGCTAGGATAGTCACCGTTCCTGTTACTATGCTGCCTAACGAACAACCCCCAAAGCTTAGTGGCATAAAAACAATCATTTTATTATGCTTCTAGATTTTGTGAGTCAGGAATTCGGGCAGGGCAGAGCAGGTACAGCCCCTCTCTGGGGCCTCAGCTGGGAAACTTG